TATTATGAAAGAGCTTACTGATAAAAACAGTCACTATTTTAAAAGCTAAATCATTAGTATCGGGGCGGGGGTAAAAAAAAATCATTTGTATCAAGGAACCATAATATCATAGGGGAACTCTGCTGGCATTGTGGTTTAAGCACTCGGCTGCTAATCTGAAGATCAGTGGATCGCACCCACCCTCCAGCTCCATGGGTTAAAGATGTGGCCGAGTGCATCCATGAAGATTTGCATACAGCTTTGGAAACCCTATGCAGCAGTTCTAGAATGGACTAGAGAGAGGGCACTGAATTTCATTTAGGGGTTTATGCTACTATACTCCAAGTTAATATGTTATACTTATTTATTTTCTATACAGTCTTAAATCTTTACTTTTGGAATCCATGTTGTTGTTTTTGCTTGCCATAGAGTCGAGTATGACTCATAGCAACCCTATGAACAAAAGACCTGAAACCTTTCTATAACCATCGTCGTTTCTCAAAGTTCTTGGAGCTTCCAGACGCATGTTATTTAGGAAATAGATGCCACCCCTGCTTCCATAAGTATAAGTATGCCGTTTTCAGAATACTGTCACTTCTCTTTTTTAAGCAAGGCATACTCTTAAAAATAGAGATTTTTTAAGCAAATAGGAAATTATACAAAAAGAAAACAAAACATCTATCATCTATCTATCTCTCTTATCTATGCTCTCTCTCTCTTTCTCTCTCTCTACCTACCTACCTACTTACCTATCTATCATGTATGTTACAAAGTTCCTAGGTAGGTTGACTCCTCTGGTATTGTGTTTTTATTTCTACATATGTGAAGATACCACTATAATGTTTTTAATGATTTTCTTTTTCATATAGTCAGCCAAGTGATGCATTCTATGATATTAAACTTTTGTGCCAGGTTTAATTAGTGAGTTCCTTTAGTACGTGCAGTTAAAAGAAAGAATTTTACAGACTTATCCTAGGGCCTGTGAGGCAGCTTTATGAAAATGTTTTATGCTTATTTCAGCTTTGCATTTAGTTTGCATAGACAGCAACCAAAATTTGACTTTGAGTCTATCCCACATGAATTTCAAAACCATCGCAGGAACAGATCTGAGGCCTTGGACAATAATGAGCAAAGACCAGATGAGCTGTGGGAGGATGTCAAGAATATCATCCAGGAAGAATGCAAAGACAGAGGAGGAAGATAAGACCAAGATGGATGTCAGAAGAGACTCTGACTATTGCACTGGAGCGCCAAGAAGTCAAAGCAAAGGGAAGAAATCAAGATATTAAGGAGTTGAACAGAAGATTCCAAAGGGCAGCACAGGAAAACAAAGTATTACAATGAAATGTGCAAAGAGCTGGAGTCAGAAAATCAAAGGGGCTAAACTTGCTCAGCATTTATTAAACTCAAGGAACTGAAGAACAGATTCAAGCCTCGAGTTGCAGTTCCTAAGGATGCTTTGGGCAGAATATTAAATGATCCTGGATGCATTAAAAGAAGATAGAAAGAATATATAGAGTCACTGTACCAAAAGGAATTGTCAGATGCAGAAGAATTTAATGAAACAATGAATGAGCCTATGGTGATGAAGGAAGAACTTCAAGCTGCTCTGAAAGAATTGGCAAAAACCAAGGCCCCAGGAATTGATAGCATACCAATTGAAATATTTCAACAAACAGACACTATACCCTGGATGTACTTACCACGTTGTGCCAAGAAATCTGGAGGACAACCACCTGGCCAACTGACTATATTACTAAATTTTTACTACTGGACCAATAAGCAACATCATGACAGATAAAGAAAAGATTGAAATTGTCAACAACGTAATCTTACTTGGATCCACAATCAACATCTTTGGTATCAACAGTCAGGAAATTAGGAGACTTATTGCACTGAGAAAGTCTTCAGTGAGAGACTTCTCCAAATTATTGAGGAGCAATGATGTCAGTTTGAGGACTAAGGTGCCTCTGATTCAGGCCACAGTCTTTCCAGTCACTTGCTATGCATCTGGAGCTGAACAATGAATAAGGATGACAGAAGAATTGATGCCTTTGAGCCGTGGGGTTGGAGAAGAGTATTGAATATCCCATGGGCATCCAAGAGAACAAACAAATATGTCTAGGAGAAAGTACCGCTAGAGTACTTCTTGGAGGCAAAGATGATGAAACATCATCTGGCATACTTTGGGCATATTCCTTGAAGAGGGGCATCATGCTTGGGAAGGTGGGAGGTCGGCAAAGGAGAGGAAGGATTGACCCAGTGATTGCTGCAGTCGTCTCCAATGTGTTGGGAAGTGTGAGGATGGTACAGGATAGGACAGAGTTTAAATCTGTTGTTCCTGGGATCACTATGGATTGTACATGACTCAATGGCACCTAACAACAACAATTAATGTATGAAATCTCTGAAAATTCTGATTGACCAGCCTGGCTCACATACGCATGGGAAGGCGGGTCAGGAAAGAACAAGTCATGATTGACAGACCAACCGAGACCATGTGAGACAAAGGAGGTAGTTCCTGCAGGGAAGCACCCCGTGTCCTCATCAGAGTGGTGAGACAGCAGCGGTGTACCGCCCCCTGCTGGCTTCTCTAGGGAGCGCAGGTAGTATATTCCATTACAAGCTGCACTGCTAACCCAAAGGCTGCGTGTCTCCCTCTGCTGGTTCATATCCACCAGTGGCTCAAGAAAGTCTCTCATTGAGATTTACAGCATCAGAAACCCACTGTTGTTATTGTTGTTATGTAATTTTCAGAGCCAATTAATAGCTGAAACTCCAGTGGGATTTTAGAGGCAACAAATCACACAGGAGACTGCTCATCTTTCTCCTCAGAGCAGCTGGTGGTTTAGAACTGTGTGCCTTTGGGTTAGTAGCACAACTCCTTACCACAAGCCATCAGAGCTACCAGCAGAAACCTAACAGCGGGTTGTTGTGAGTTGGAGCCACCTCCAGAGCAGGGAGTATAAGGTGTTTTGTTTTGATCTGGTTTTTCTAAACTTCATATAGTAGATGCTTATAGACAGACGCTCAGTGTTCAGGCTCAGGGGCAATGAACAACCACCACAGAGATGCTCACTAAACATTTGTTGCAAGAATAACAGATAAACACCTGGCTGAGCATGAGTCTTGAGGTAACTGAAAATTGGGCTGGTGTCTGTGGCTTTTTTTTTTCTTCATGTTTGCCACAGGTATTTGCAAGGGCCCAAGGAAAGTTCCTTGGCAACAGTGGTCAGGACCAAACAGGCGTGCCCAGGACTGAATTCCTCTGTTTCCTCAGATCCTGGAGCTAGAAGGCCATGAGCTGGTTGCCATCACCCCGGCAGTGAATCCCCCATTTGACCTCTTCAGCTAGTGGAGAACTGTGGGAAGAGCAGAACCATATCGACAAGCAACTGATCTTAATACAACATGTGTACCATTTCGGGGTGCTGGGAATGCTGTAGAGCTCAGTGGAGGTGTTAGTTGCTCAGCACTGTGAACGTGCAGAACACCACGGAGCCGCTGCCTTCAAAACAGTATCCTTTACGTTACATAAATTTCCCCTCAGTAAAAACAAATTGGGGTGGGGAGCAATTGTTCACACATTCTGCCGCTTGCTGCATCTGAGAGTCTGTCTAGAGAATTACTTTTTCCATCTTTCTTGGCATTTTATTAATGAGGTCTAGTAGAAAATGTTGCAGGGGATTCCCCCCCCTCCCTTTTTGAGAGGATGGCAGGAACCTAACAAATTCTTTGTCTGCAGTTCTTTTTCTTGTGAGAGGTGGTGGACTGGGTTAATTACACCTGTGGGTAAAGTCTGCCAGCGATTTTTTTTCCAACCTGAAGTGCACACAAACCCACACATAGATATTACCACTCCTCGCCCGTTTGCTTTCCAGGCTCGTTTTCTTGGGATGGACGTCTATGCGAATAACCAAGAGGAGGCAGTAACTGTTAGAGCAAGAGAAGAAAGGGAAAGAAATACTTCAGATCTTAGAAAATGGCTTTCCATTTTTTAAATTAAAAAATTGCCCCCATGATAGTCAGAATGTGATCAAATAAAGCACCAGGACCCCCCTCTTCAGTCATTTTCCTAATTACCCCTTATAGGTCCCCAGTGTGCACACAGAGGCCAGATAAATTCATTTCTAAAATGTATTGTAAATAAACTTTCTGGCCGTGAAAGTTCCCAAGAGGCATGGTGGGGATATATGATTCTAGGGGAAAGGAAAGTTTCAGTACCTCTGAGGTATAAAGACCCACTATGGGAGTCCCTAAAGGAGGCTTGACAGTGCAGAGCCCCAGTGCATTATGGGCTGTACTACTGACTGAAAGGTTGAGGGTTCAGATCCACCAGACACTCCACTGGAGAAAAGATGAGCAATCTCTTACCATAAAGATTTACAGCCTCTGAAAGTCAGGGGAGGGTTCCTATGATTCAGAATCAACTGAGTGGCAGTGGGTCTGGTTTGTGTTTGGACTAACCTACTGAACTCATCCAAAAGCACTGCGGGAGAATGGCCGGGTGACCTGCTTCCATAGGGATTGCAGCCTAGAAAGCCTATGGGGCTGTTTTACTCGGCAGCTCTCAGGGTCACCACAAGGCGGAATTGACTTGAAATAATTAATACTGGAGCCCGTCTAACCTGTTACATCAAGGAGAGTCCAGCTCAGAGCGTCCCTGTGTGTGCAGAGGAGAACTTGGCTCGATAAGATTCTCAAGGCTGTGGCCTCTTAGAGGCAGCTCACCAAGCCTTTGCTTCTAGGTTCTTCTGGGTGGGTTTGAACTTGCTGCCTTTCAGTTCATAGTGGAGTGCTTAACCATTTGCACCATCCACAGACTCCTCAAGAGCCTTTTTACAAGTGTTAACTGTAACCAAACTCTTCTTGTCCCCATGGAGTTTTCCAAGGGACAGAGCAGCCTTGAGAATCTTTCTCTCCTCTCCCCACCTGCTCTCCATTCCCAAACGATCGATAACTACGTCTTTCCGCACACCTGAACCAACACCTAGTAAACTTCATCTCTCCTCTCCACTCAGGATGAAATAATCCTGCTTCTGGGGAAAGAAGTCACTCGTCTGTTGGATTTTGAGAACGAATCCAAATACAAAGACACCGTGATCGCCACCCTTAAGAACGAAGTGGCTGAAATGACTCAGAAGCTGTCTGTGATCACCACTCCCAGGCCGAGCGAGCAGAGGGCGTCACAGAAGCCTCAGGATCCAGATGAGGGCTTTGTTGTCAAGGAGAAAGAGATCCAGAGCTTGCGAAGCCAGGTAGACTGCAGAGACAGGGTACTGTACTGATGGCCTCAGAGTCCCGACAATGCTCAAGGTAGACCGGGGGACCACAAGGGCAAGCTTAAGGACCAAGAGATCCGTTAAACAGGGATGAGAAACCCAGCAGGTTCCTGACCTAATTAGCCACCATGGAGTTAATTGAGACTCAGGGTGACTTTGTATACAATACAACAAAACAATGTCCAGTCACACATCATTCCCACGGCCAGCAGCATGTTCAAGCCAGTCCTTGTGGCTGTTGGACACAGTCCACCTCATCAGCTCTTTCCCTCACCTTCACAGGCTCAGTGAGTCACCAAAATGATGTTCTCTTTAGTGAGTGCCTCCTAGTGTCTGGTAGAGATTACCATGGAGCTCTGGTGGCTTAGTGGTAAGCAATTGTGCTGCCTACACAAAGGTACGTGGTTTGAATCTACCAGATGCTCCTTGGGAGACAGATGGACAATCACTTCTCATGCAATTTTCAACCTTTGAAGACCCACTGGAGGGTCGGCTATGAGTCAGTTTCAACTCAACGATACTCAGCAACTTGTCTGATAGCAGACAAGTCAGTGTTCTGCTGTGTGAGCCATAAAATTTTCACTGACTAACTTTCATAAGTAGATTTTCCAGGCCTTTCTTCCTAGTCTGTCCTAATCCAGATGCTCCACTTAAGCCTATAAATGCACAGGTGAACCTTTGCAACACCAGTAGCATAGCCACCTGCATCTTAGCAACACACATCCCATGACAGTATGCCAGACAGACAGGCAGTGGAACAACAATGCTAAGTCTTCTTAAACAACTATTGAGTGCAAGCCCTGTATAAACACTTGAAGTGCATTGTTGTTGTTGTTGTTGTTATGTGCCGTCGAGTCGCCTGCGACTCATAGCGACCCTATGTACAACAACCCTAAACTCCACTCTGTCCTGTGCCAATTGCACTGTCTCTGACACTCCCATCCCAATTATTCCTGTCACTGAATCAATCCACCTCATAGAGGGCCTTCCTCTCCTGTGCCGTCCCTCCACCCTTCCAAGCATGATGTCCCTCTCTAAGGACCGGTCTCTCCTCACAACATGTCCAAAGTATGTTAGACGGAGCCTCAGAATCCTTGCCTTCAAGGAGCCACCCGGTTTAACCCTTTCGAGGACAAATCTATTTGTTTTCCTAGCAGTCCATGGTATTCTCAATACTCTTCTCCAGCACCACAGCTCAAAGGCATCAATTCTCCTTCTATCCTCCCTGGTCATTGTCCAACTCTCTGATGCATAACAAGTGATTGCGAAGACCATAGCCTGTATCAGACGCACCTTAGTCTCCAGAAAGACACCATTGCTCTTCAGTACCTTGGAGAGGTCCCTAACAGCAGACTTTCCCATGGCAATGCGCCTTTTAATTTCCTGGCTGCTGGTGCCAGGACTGTTGACTATGGAGCCAAGCAAATTAAAGCTGTGTACAATCCCAATCTCTTCACCATCCATCCTGATGCTGCCAATTGGCCCAGTGGTGAGAATCTTTGTCTTCTTGACATTGAGCCTCAATCCATATTGTAGGCTGCAGTCCTTGACACTCTGCAGCAGGCGCTTCAGGTCCTCTTCAGTTTCAGCAAGCAGGGTTGTGTCATCCGCATAACGCAGGTTGTTGATAAATCGTCCACCAATCTTGACCCTACATTTCTCCTCATAGAACCCAGCCTCCCGGATAATCTGTTCTGCATATAGGTTGAAAAGGTATGGAGATAGGATGCATCCCTGGCATTAATGAAGTGCATTAACCCCTTTAAACATCACACCCCTCTGTGACAAACCCATTATACATTTGAGGAGACTGAGGCAGGCTCAGAGATACCTAACAGCTTGTTATAGCTTGCACAGCAAGTTAAAGGTAATGGTTAAGTTTAGACTCAAAGATGCCTTACTGCAGACTCTCTTCTATTTCCTCTCATTGTTATCATTTCAGTATTACTACCTCTAATGCCCGCCTAGTATCAGCCAGAAAGCCATGGGCAGCTAGCTAGAAGATAGGAGAAGGAATACCCCAATGTTCTAGACACCAAAGCCTTTTCCCATTTCCCAAAGGTTGTGACTGGCTGACTCATAGAGAATTTCTTTCATAACAAATTTCTTTCATAACAAATCTGGTCTTAGCAGTCAGAGTCCTGCTCCTTGCTTTTATAACCTTGATCCAGATTCCCTTTCAACTCCCACTTTATAATAAGTTGTAGCTGTTGTACATAAATTGTTTCTCAGCAAGGATGATTAAAAAGATAAATTAACCATTCATCAATATTGACCTCTTTTAGGAGTCCTGGATGTGTAGTTGGTTGTTTATTGTGCTGCTAATCTTTCAGTCTATATGCAGAACAGATCATTAGGGAGTCTGGGCTTTATGAGAAGGAATATGACATCAGGATTAGAGGAAGACTCATCAACAACCTATATTATTGAGAAGACACATCCTGCTTGCTGAAACTGAGGTGGACCTGAAACACTTCCTGCAGGAAGTCAGTGATTGTAGTCTTCAATATGGATTGAAGCTTAACATCAAGAAGACCAAGATTCTTACCACACAGCCTGTTGGCAGCACCATAATAGACGGAGAAGAGATTGAGGTTGTTAACAGTTACAGTTTGCTGGGCTCCACAAACAACACTCTTGGCACCAGCAGTTAGGAAGTCAAAAGATGAATTGCATTAGGTAAATGTGCTGTCAGGGACCTTTCCATAATACTGGGAAACAACGATGTCAGTCTAGAGACTAAGGGACACCTGATCCAGGCCATGGTCTTCGCGATTATTTGCTATGCATCAGAGAGCTGTACAATGACTAAGGATGACAGAAGAAATATTGATGCCTTTGAGTTATGGTGCTGGAGAAGACTCTTAAACATACCATGGACCACCAAGAAAACAAATATATCTGTCTTAGAGAGAGTTAAACCAAGTTTCTCCTTGGAGGCTAGAAAGGTCAATGGAGGTGAGTGTGTCAGAGTCAGTGAGAATGGCTCTGGACAGGGCAGGCTTCAGAGCTATTGTACATATGGTCGCTATGAGTCACAGGTGACTCAAAAGCACATAACAACAACCACCTTAAGATCCATGGTTCAAATCTACCAGCCACTCCCTAGAAGAAAAATTGGCAGCCTCTTTCTAATAAAGATTTACGGCCTCAGAAAACTGATAGGGATGGGGTCATCATGAATTAGAATTGACTCTATGACAATGGCTATTTTTATGAATAAGTACCCAGTTACTAAGTGAAAGATCGACAGTTCAAACCCACCAGCTGCTTAGTGAGAGAAAGATGAGACTGTCTGCTTCTGTAAAGCTTTACAGCCTATGAAGCCACCAAGGTGATTACAATTCATAGTGACTCTATAGGATAGATACTGCTTGGTAATTTCCACAATCTGTTGGAACACCTTTTTTGAGGAATGAGAACAAATATGGATCTCTCCCATATATGACTAGAACAAATACATTGACAGAGAGCTGCCAGAAATTCAGGCTGGATGGAGAAGCAGCTATGGCTTGAGAGGAGTCACTGCTGATGTCAGATGGATCTTGGCTGAAAGCAGAGAATATCGGAAGAATGTTCACAGTATTTTATTGACTATGCAAAGTTGTTTATTTGACTGTGTAGATCATAACAAATTATAACTGACTTTTGGAAAAGTGAGAATCCCAGAATACTTCTTTGTGCTCATGCTAAACCTATACATACACAAAAAAACAACAACAAACCCAACTATTGTCCAAACAGAGCAAGGCAACACTGTATGGTTTAAAATCAAGAAAGGTGTGCATTAGGGCTATATCCTTTCTCCATACTTATTCAATCTGTATGCAGAACAAATTGTCCAAGAAGCTGGACTATATAAAGAAGAATGTGGCATTGAGATTGAAGAAGGACTCATAAAAAACCTGCATTATGCAGATGACATAATCTTGTGTGCTGAAAATCAAGCAGATTTGAAAAGCTTACTGCAGAGGTTAAAAAACCTGCATAGCCTTCAATATGGGTTATAGCTCAACATCAAGAATATAAAAGTCCTCATTTCTGGGTCAAAATACATCGTCATTAAAGATGAAGGAGAGATAGAAATTGTCACTTATTTTAGCTTGCCTGAATCAACACCATTGGCACCAGGAGCCAGGAAATCAAAAGATGTATTAATGCAGTGAAAGTCTGCTGTCACGGGCCTCTCCATAGGGTTCAAGAGCAAAAAATATCAGTTTCAAGACTATGGACCACCTGACCCAAACCTTTTCAGTTACTTGTTATGCATCTGAAAGTTGAACAATGACTAAGGTTAACGGAAGAAGAATTGATGCCTTTGGATTATATTAGAGAAGAGTGCTGAGTATCCCATGGATTTCCAGAAGGACAAATGTCTGGAAAAAAGGTGAAGCCAGAGTACTCTTTGGAAGTGAGGATAGTGAAATTTCATCTTACATACTTTGGGCATGCTGTTGGTTATTGTTGTTGTTGTTGTTGTTAAGTGCCATAGAGTGGAGCATGACTCAAAGTGGCCCTATGAACAAAAAACCTGAACCCTGATCTATAGTTATCCATCATTTTTCTACATTCATAGAGTTTCCAGAGGCATATTGTTTAGGAAGTGGAGCCACTCCTGCTTCCAAGCTTGTCTCAATTTGGGAACTCTGCCAAACACGGTCCACCATGGGTAACCATTATGGCATTTGACACACCAGTGGCACAGCATTCAGCATCACAGCAACCCCAAGTTACCTCAGTACAGCAAATTGACAGACCAGTACTGTACCACTCAGAAGAAAGACACACAGGATCAAGGGCCCAACCTTCTTTTAAATACAAAGACCTGCTCACCAGGTCCTGGTTGACTCTAAACAAGAGGCTTCCAGTTCACAGCTCATTTTTTAGCTAAAGCTAGCAAATCCAATCAGCTCACATAGGATTGTGAACAGAAAAAGCAACTGAACAGTCCACAGCAAACTGCAACCGAAACCAGA